GGTAGGTCAAAAAAGTCAGAAAAAAATATTTTTTTATGAGCTCCTAAGGGGTAACTCGTCAAAGTAGAGCCCTAAGGGCGAAAATTTCGTCCGTTTTGATCTATCTGTTACCGTTTGGGCGCTAGAGGGAGTTTTTTTTCACAAAATGGCCCAAAAATAAATTTATTAATTTCCGAAAATATTGAATGGTCTCCTAAGGGGTAACTTGTCAAAGTAGAAAATTTCGTCCGTTTGGCTCTATCTCTAACCGTTTAGGCGCTAGAGGGTCTTGTTTGACGAAAATAAGTTAAAAATTGCTGTAGTGAACAATTAAATGTAAAAGAACGCACAAAACCGCTAAAGAGGTAAGAAACTCTCTCCCCCCACCCCAAAAAACGTTTTCTAAGCAGAAGGGTGGGTTTTAGTCGCGGTGTTTCACCGTTACATCCCTTTCTCGTGTCTACGGGGCAAATTTTAAGGACGACGGGCTTTGCGGGCCGAAGGCCCGTTACATCATTTGATTATGTTCTACAGCAAATCGCGTGACAGAAATGGTCGGGCCGCAGGCCCGACCATCGCCGCCGGCAGGCCAAGCAGGCCCGGCCCCTGCCGAACGGAGTTGCCGGCGCAGCGAAGCGAAGCTGGCAACTTCGTTTGGCGGAAGGGCGGGCCTGCTTGTTCATACCTGGAAGGCGGTCGTGACACGTGATGAGCTCAAGCAATCAGAGCCATCGCGGAATCGGAAAAGTCAGTGTTTGTTCTTTTCCTACTTCCGTTTGGATAGCCTGGAATACCCTATTGAGCTAGCGACCCGGGATTTTCAGGGTCATTTTTGGCTGAGCGATTAGCGAAGCCCATTACTCCACCGACCGAAAAAGTTTCATTCTGTTTGTTTGTCTGTCTGTGTGTCTGTCTGTCTGTCCGCACGATAACTCGAGAAATAATTAAGAGAGCGATCTGGGAATTCGAGGGTCGTTTTGTATCATAAAAAGACAGATCGAGTTCAAAGATTATAACGTGTTCAAATGTGCCCGGCCATACATTTCCATATAAGTAGGTAGAGTGGCGTAGGAACCTCAAGTTCAAATTTTTAGTAATGGGCGCCAGAGAGAATTAACTCTCCTTGAAGTCACTAACAAGAT